ACTGTCTCTTGTCTGAGCTCACGTTCTTACTACGTGGAGAAGCTGGAAACAGTTAGTGGTGCTAAGGCTCCTTGTGGCCGCCATGACACGTAGACACTCAACCACTGAAAACGGGCCATATCTGTGACTACACCGGTGGCTCTCAGCAAACTATGTCTGTAGTTATCACCAGGGAGCGGTTAAGCCACGATCTCGTTATTTTAGCCACGTGGGTCTGCAGGAGGACACAAATCGGGTCAAACGCAAAGGCGCACGAGACATTTCTGTGGCTCCTGGGGGTGACGTGTCGCTACTACAAACTGCTTGCCGCCCGTGTGATGGAACGAGCCAACGTATTAACCTCATTTAATAGGTCTGAGTTATTTTATGGGAAGGGATGAGACTGGACAGTCAAACCTCTAACCCTGCTATGTATTAATGTACTTGGTTGTATTTATTATAAATAACTTTTCTCAGAAGCAAAACCCTGTCAGAATGATAATTAAACACGGACATTTTGGGGGTCTTGTCAAGTACATATATCTTAAAGCAACTGTTTATATTATCCTGTGCCACCCTATTTACATAAATTGGAAGGATTATACAAAGAACTAACTATAGACAAGAAATGAATAATTGCTTATTTCCAACTTATAGCAATTTGATTGGACCTTAATTTTGGCGGGTATTTACACAAGAGAGACTAGAAATATTTTTAAATTGCTGCTTAATTCTCACTAGTTTCTGACAATAATAACACTAGACTCAGAAACAAAGCAACATACTCATCCCACCACTTAGTTGTAAGATGGTTATTTTTTCTAGACTGTTCTGTCTGGATCTCATCACCCCCAGTGAGAAATCTATCTGTTCTGACTTCTCGGTTTTCTACCTTATTCTCAATTCAAAATAATATTTCCAAATCTGAAGTCATGGGACACATACCCATCCTGAGAGGCTGCTTGGTGTGTCACTGGATCAAAGCCTCAAGGTTCTACATTTCTAACAAGTTTCAAGAAAACATTACATCTTCCCGAAAGTTCTCCCCTGTCGTATAATGAAGTGTGAGTTAAATTCATTCCTACTTCTGTTTCTAGGGTCTTTTACTAGGACCGAATGTCCGTCCCTGAGCTACTCTTCTCCCCGCTAATACCTGTGGAGTGATTGATGCCACCCCGTCTTTAGTCTTTATTAGTATCTGAATAACGACAATACGGGAATGGAACTATGGCTAAAGCCTTGTCCTCTTCAGTCTCGGCACCGATTATTTTTCTGTGGCGGTGACCGATAGCCTTCTATTTCCTTTACACTTCGAAAGAATATGTAAAAATGTATTTGACAGAGGTATAAGGATGGGTATGAAAAGCCGTTCTAATTAACTTCATCTCTCAACTTTGATCACTAAGTTTGTTTCTCAAAGGTCGAGAAGGAAGAAAGGAAATGAAGAGAAATGAGAATCTTACCCAGATACATGATCCACCATTCCCAGGAATTGAGAATGTCTACCAGCGGGATGCAATTTTAATAGAGTGGATGGTGATCTAGGTCGAATTTCCCAGAGTAAGGCTGCGTGTGGGACAGAGTCCGACCTCCCTGAGACCAAGTTCTAGGACATCTCTCTGCCTTGGATCTCCCAGTCCCCGTAGAGGAAAAAAAAACGAGATGACACTATGCTTTTCTCCACGCTCCATCTCCTCTCTCTGTTTTCCCTGCTTTCCTGTCTCTTTCACTTTCCATCTTGAAAACACCAAAAAAAAAAAAAAAAAAGACCCAAGTCCCAAACCATTGTACATTTTTCTGGCCAAAACTCTGAGGAAAAGAAGATGCGTGTGCCCTGATGCCGCCCAGGCCAGAGGTCAGTCACAAACAGGACAGCTGGAGTCTGCCCGCGGCCACTCTGCTGGGTCCTGGGAGGGACGCACAGGCCAGGTCCTGGCCGATCTTCTCCCTTTCACACCATCTCAAAGAGGGAGGAAGGGGCCGCAGACGCGCCCAGCGACCTCGTTCTTCAAGTCGGATGCTCGTTTCTGTTTTGTTTTGCTTTGCCGCCGGCCAGCGACTAGAGACGGAGAACTGTGCTGTGGGCGAGTCGCTGCGGCCTTCTGGAGAGAAACAGGGCTTCGAAGGGAGTCGGGGTGAACGTTAAACTGGGAGCACAGGACGCTGGGTTCCCTTACAGAACGAGGCAGGAGGCCAGACGGGCCAGTATTGGAACAGATCCTGTTGGTTACAGGTCGGTGAAACTCCTTGAACTGTACACAAGACTGTGTGCGTGTGTTTTCACTGAAGGTGTCTGGACTTCCTAAACTACTAAGAACCATTCATTTGACTTCACACTCTAATATTCACCTAAATGATTTGTTATCGAAGTCACTTCAGTTGGCTATTCGGGATTCCGAAATCACGATTTTTTTGAATTTATTCTGAATAACAAAAATAAGGAATGCATACTGTCCTGTCTAGCATCGATTCTTTAAAGCACGTTTAAAAAATTAATCTACACATTGACCATAATATAACCGAGAAAATCATCTGCTATAATTTTAATAGATTCTGAATTGTTTTAGATTAAAAAAAAAAATACAGGGCTTATCATGAAAGCAATCGACTAATGATTTACAGCCTCAAGTCTGCGTGTGCATGCAAACCGAGATTAGAATACTGTATCTCTAAATTAACCATAAAATTTTTTACCAGTTTGGAGCTGTCAGCTGCAGGTTACGTACACATTCTTGCCAAAACCTGAAATAGTCTTTGAGAACAAGTTGCTTTGAAATCATAAATAAGACAGAAACTTTATATCCTTCTGGGTCATGATCCACATGTGACTTTTTCCCTCTAAGAACTGGTCATTTATATTCTGGTAAGGATTTTGGAGTCTGGGCAAATCCACTAATCTGTTTATTTCTCTAGTCTTCACTTTCTTTTTGCACCTGATAAATGAAGATAGTGAACTTGAATCGAATGTGCTCAGACTCCTCCGTCCTTGACGATGGTCTGGGTGTCCCCACAGGGGCTCCAAATGCCCCGTTCTCAGCCCTGCTCCCTGGCGCTTCACAGACACGAGGTGGTGTTTCGATAGGAGCTACTTTCTAGTTCACTTGTTAATGAAGAACACGTTTTTCTTTCTGGCCCTCAGTTCACGTGAAATGCTCCTAAAATCTAAACATGTTAGCAAATGAGAGAACTTTATTTTTTAATAAGTTTTTCTCTTTATGATGATAGAAGTTTCACAATGTGTCTTTAATTTTCTGATAATTTTCAAAAGGCAGATTTCACTGGGGCCACAAAAGCACTCTCAGATTCAGGTGTAGAAACCACCATCACAGTCCGCTGAAAAGTACAAGCTCCGTCAAATGGACTTGGCCTAGTTCCCAGGGGTCTCGGACATTCGCAACATCTGAGACTTAAGTCCATCAGCTTCAGAAGCTGCAGTAACTCTGAGTGAATTCAGCACGTGACTGTGTCATAATGTATTTGTAATATGAGGCAGCAGACTCTCCTTCCAAAGGCACCACATTTATAATGGAGGACAAAACATCTCTGGGATGTCTCTCAATTTTAAAGTTTCCCTTGGTGGGGTACCTGGCCGTTGGTTGCATACATGTTCTTTGAGAAGATTATTTTGGCTGTCATTCCTGTGTGCTGCAGATATGATGCGTTTTGATTTGGTATCTTAACACCGACGAGCTGGGTGGTACCTTTTTAAGGAGGATAGTGTCTCCTCAGGTGGGGGGAGCCTTTCCTAGGAACCACACTTCCTGAGCCACAAAGATTCTGTACCCACAGGAAGGCCGCTCCCGCCCCCGACCCCCACGGGAAAGGTGGAGCCAGCACGGAGGTGACAATGGAGAGGCTAAGGGGTAGACCTGCAGTTCCGACAACTCTTCGGAACTTAGAATCACAGAATTCTACTAAAGGCCGTGTCTTATGCTCAAAGCTGTCCTACAATGTCGTTTTATCCAAATCTGTCCCCGCCTAATCTTATTAGTGGGAAAGGGAGACAATGGCCGGTAACTGATTTTCCTAAAGTCAAAGAGTTTAGGTGACTAAGTTCCAGACTCTTCTGGATCCCGGTCCAATGCTCTCACGCGTGGAGCCCGCGGAAGATGAAGCTTTCTAAAGCTGCCCTTCTTACAGCCTTTGATCCACGGTCACTGTTATTATTGGCCTCAGTTTTATCTTACACCGAAACTATGTTTTGAAAATCCATGAAAAATCAAAGTTAAAAGTGTCAGACTGTAAACTGTACAAAACAGCAGCTTCTGAAGTTTTTCTCATTCCTGTTTATGCTCCTAACTGGTGGTCGCTACGTTGCTTCAGCTAGAAATTAAAATAACTCTTTTGCTACTCTTCAAGCAGATGGAAAATACCTGGCGTTATCCCACATCGTGCTTCACATAGATGTGTAATTTTTAAATAGAGCCGATACAGTTACAGGTTGTTAAGAGCGATCTGTTGGAGACCGATGGAGACTTTTAAAACAAATCTCTCGGTTCTCACCACAGCTAGCTCCTATTCGATGTCAAAATACAAACTGTAATCATCGTCGTAGTAGCTTCAGAGAGATGCAGCGTGCCTTTTTAACGGTCAGAGAAGGGTCAGTGACGGTGCCCAAGTCACAGGCGTAGTGTGGGGGACGGAACAGAAACCGAATACACCGAGGTGGCTGCTTGGGACGCTGAGCAGTCTTACAGTCTCATATCTTTAATTTTATGTACACGAATATAATGTACGTCAACTTTGTACACGAGATACATACAGTATTTAAACGCTTTACTCAACAGATAAGAATTTACAATATAACCGACTAGAGGGGCTGCCCACTTAAGATACTTAGATTAGATCTGTGCTTTAACAGGGAAGGAATTTAATAGTTTACATTCATAGAAACACCAACATTTAGAACAAGACTTTATAAAATAATTTATATAT